TTCAAACAAACAGTGTTATTTGCAAAACGACTGGGGATCACATGATGTCCGGTGACTTTTGATAGGCCACTGTACATATACTTGTTAATGCGAGTAACACAGATACTTGTGGATATGTTTAGCATATGTTTATCGTTTGTTTCTACTATTACATGTACTATTTTAGTAATCTGTCAAATGATATTGCTCTTTCAATGTCAATTAATTGGCATTATTAAAAGATAGAAATCAAAATCATATAAATTTACAAATTTATTGGTTTTCCCATGCAATATAAATTCTTATTAAATTAGAAATTAGGGAAAAGCTCAATCTTAGAATTAAGATAAGGTACACACCACCAATTCTTTAAGCAATTTTAATAGATAATGACAAAAAGGCAAAGATTTTTTAATTAACGAAAGGAACACAGCCGAAACATTTATAAATTTATCAAAACATCTTTATTAAGCGTAAAATTGAGGGCTGTAATTATCAACAAAGGTGTTGTGCCGCCCTCCTTCTTCTTTAGTTAAAATATGAAAAAAAAATTTATTATCGTTATTTAAAAAACACACTTCGACAGAATTGTTTTATCTTCGAAAATTTCATGATGATATTAATTGAAACATACTTGTATTTGAAAATATACCAGACGAACAACTCCTCAAATAATTCTGCAAAATCAATTCACACCTAGATATTCGTTCCAAATTTCACAAATTATAATTCACGTGCGTGGATATTGAAATTTTCCTGATCTTGTGTCAAAATAACTTTTGCGCGGGAATTTTTTATTTTCAAATTAAAGTAATGCCATGCTTCACATATAGATAGAATCGTAAAGGTATTGATGTATTTTTGCCGTTGACTATCAAGACCCAACACCACGTTAAGAAGCAATTTAACTTTGTAAAAGATGTTCTGATAACTTAGTCGCATAAAATATGACAACTGATGACCAATTTTATTACATCTTTTTTAATCATACCTTCTATTATTATCAGGAAAATCATCATTTAAATATTACATGTACAATACCTTTCGTTATTGACCACATAATTGTTGTGTGACATAACCGCTAATTAAAAACTCTCGGCCTATCGGCTATCAAACTCTCATATTCCGAATAATAAAAATTTTAAATCGAAACTAATTTTTAGATCTTTTCTGATTTGGATTATTTGGCCTTAACCAAATTTGTATAGTATTTCGTACTACTTACAAAGGTATAAATGATACCAATTCTAAGGCAAAAAATCATTTAACTAGAAAATAAATTTAACAGGATACAAAAAGTTGTCAGGTTGAATTTTTTTCTTTATAACGTCTTTTAAATCATGATTCCTTTATATTTATCAGCTTAATGCCATATAGATATAGTAATACGAACAATGGACAATATTAACGAAAGACAAGAAGACCCACTCGGTCCCAATTATGATAGGACCCAAGTTGCCAGCCAAGCAGTATGGAATATTTATAAATGCCTAAGACATTCATCGCAACTAAATAAAAAACAAGCTGAATCTTTATCAGCGCTAAAATTTTTCTTAGGTACAATATATTAATAATACTTATCATTTCAACTTCATCCTTAATACATGTAATTGTAATAAATGTTCTTGTATATTTAGGCGATGAACCACGATCACAAAATAACGATAATGATACAGGCAGTTGATATCCCGTAATCAACAAACACATGTGTAACTACGTACGTAGCGGTTGAATTTATGTATACATGTCGATACTGTATCTTCGATGGATTTTTAAACGTATATTTATGATTATTGTTATATACTCATGACAAATTTTACATTATTTCTATGATTATTTACATTATTTCTATGATTAAAGTCTATTTTATATATATTTGAAATATTTTTCCTAATGCGAATAAGTACATGTACAATTTGTGATGTTGTGATTGGGTTCCTAATGTGTAGTAAATTTTCTGCTAAATGATTTTTTTAACCAAATTGAAAATTCAAGGTTCATAGTGTAATTTCATTATAATTTTGAAATAATTTCTAAAAAGGAGAGGTAATGTTGTACAAAACATCCAACAGTATAATGCTCATCCAACAGTATAACGATAATGCTCATCCAAACAAAAAAGGGATTTGCTCAATCAGATACATGACATGTTTAGAAACAATCTACATGCATCCCATAACGATAATTCCGAAAAATTAAGTAGGATATAAATCAAAAATCGCCGCACGAAAATAGAGATATTTCAATAGGAAAAAATCTTTAAGACATTGATAAAAATTTTACTATTTTTTAATTTCAATCGAAGGATTTAAGCGAGATAAATACGAATTTAATTTATTATTGCGTTAATAATATATTTTCTTCTTCTTTTTACCAAAGTCGCTGTTGTTAATGTATTATTATGTACTCAGTGCATTAGCCCAGATACAAGTATTCTGAATGTGACTATTTCATAGGCATGCAAATGGCTTAAGAACTTTTGTTTTCAATTTGAGAATAAGCATGTATGTGTAATTATTTGTTTTTGTGTTAAATTTAAGTGCGTCAAGCCAGTGTACGACAAACGCATTAGAAAAAAAGAAAATTCTAAACTTTATCATTTAATCACATGCTATATTACATCATAGAAACAGAGATGATCTCTCTTGTCAATAATAAGAATATTAAAAAGGGAAATTGAACTATTGTATGAAGAATTTAAAGAGAACAAGGAATTGAAAAAAATCCGAAACAACAATACACATGTAATTGTCTGTTATGCTACATAAAGTGAAAGAAAAGAAAAAAACGCCATGTATACGTAAATGCACATGTATCAGGGGCGCGTGCCGAAAGTACATGTACATGTACGTAAAATTACACGCTTGTGTTAATAATTGTTACTATCCACATGTATGTTGTAGATACGTGTACAGATACAACAATTTTTTGTTATATAACAAAAATGAGATACTCGATATATAAAAAGGAATACGTAAAGATAATGCATCAACGCCACCTGAATAAGTGGATTCGGAGACTTTTTCCGGCAACAAAGATTGGGAGAAGGTACAGTGGCACAGAGAAGAAATGCAACGCGAAAAGTTTTACGAGAAAAAATTTTAATGACTCTGACATCGATTTGGAATACCTGTTTCTAATATTATTTTAAAGCTAATAACCTAGGGAATATATTAAAAATCCTAAAACTATATTAATGCTGCCATTCTAAAGAGATTGAGTGATCTACATGAATATTTTAATTAATGAAATTTTAACTCTAAATAGTCTTTTTATTAGGGAGAACTATCTATATACCAATTTTCAGCTAAATTGGTGCCAAATTCGTTGAGTTACTTGATCCCGAAGAATGCTGGTAAAATAATTTAACGATTTTTTCTGCTAGATTTATCTGGTACTTCTTGATCAAATAACTCGACGAATTTGGTACCAATTTTGCTAAAAATTGGTATATAGATAGTGCTCCTTAAGAAGCACATTTTTATTAGGTCAATCCGCATCAATCCTCCCTGATAAAAAGAGTTAAAATTTCATTAATTAAAAAATATTCATGTAGATCACTCAATTTCCTTAGAATGGCAGCATTAATATCATTTTTAGGATTTTTAAAATATTCTAAATTATTAGCTTTAAAATAGTATAGGAACCAGGTATTCCAAATCAATGTTAGAGTTACTATGATTTTTTTCGTAAAACTATTCGTGTTACATTTTTTGTGAGCCACTGTAAATAGACTAATTTGCATGTTAGATTCTAATTCCTGTGCTGATATCTATGGATATCGTTTAATATGACGGTTTAGAGGAAGTTGCAGAAAATAAATTTGAGGCAGTTAACATGATTTAGAGAGGAAAGAGAGGGAAGAAGGAAAATTGTGGTTTATGCTATGATACCTGACGAAATCATTCATCAGACGAAACCTGTGACTATTGACAAAACTTATGATTGACTAATTTGGGATTTTCTACTACAGAAAAGCAATACTAATGCCGCTAACTACGAAAGCTTTTAATAAAGAACTGCTTATAAAGTTTTTTTTGTTTTTCAAATAAACCTCCTTCTGATCGATGTGGGAAAATTAAATTTTTTACTGATATATTAAAATGAAATTAAATTAAAATAGAATATCAAATAATCTATATATGTAATATAAAAGAATCATGCCAATAAAATTAATTTTATTATATGTATTTTATAAATTCATCACAATTTAAAAAATTCACTATTTAATTATAAGAAATTTTAGATAATTTTGTCCCATATGATCTAAGCACATGATGTGTATGATTTTGGTCAAAAAAATTCATTTAATCAGCGACATTTACTACATATCTAGTTTAATTGCATGTATAAATTTAAAAAAATCATTTGTCACATAATTGTCACTAAATTTCCTTAACGAAAGCTTTCATCAAATATAACAAGTTGAGAGGTTTCAGATAGTTTCAATTTAATACCGAATTGACTACATGTATTAAGCTCTAAATTACATTTATTTAACTTGTTATTATTATTATACACCAACATGCCAAAAATATCCGGATAAGATCGGCAACTGGAAAAATTAACAAATTTTAAGCACCAATTGTAAGCACACCCATGCATCCAATTTTAATGTACATGTACTTTTTTTTTAGTGCGCCTAATTTTCTAGTTTTAGAAAATAAAGATTTTTTATTCTTTATTTATAAATTTTAGAGTTATTTGTAAGAACTCTGATCAATTATTTGCAAAATTTAATTAAGATATTATGTTTATAGAAATTTTAGTAATCAACTATCCAAATTATTTTTCTTTTTTTATTAAGATTCATCTTGATTATTATTTTCAGAAAATTTATTTTTTTATGCTTTCAATACAATCATTTTTGAGTAATGTATAAAAGATCAGAACTTACAGATTTTGAAAAATCAGTTGTTTATGAAAATTCAAAATAACAATTTGAATATAGAAAATTAGATGTTTATGAAAGCTTAAAAAAATAATAAGCGAATTAGTAAATCTTAAGACACCTAAATCCATACTTTGTAATGAAATAAAACATAAAAATCAAGATCAAATTACTTTAACGCCATATTCTGATAGATTAGAAATACATGTATTAAATAATCATGTAAAATATATACATGAACATGAACTAATTGATTTACAATTCATTAATAAAAATAATCTAAAAATATAAATATATCGTTAAGTAAAGTAGGTTTTGCTGATTCCAATCATATAAATTTTATTAAAGTTAATATGTAAATTCTTTCTAAAATATCAGTGAATTTGTAAATATAAAAATAATCAATTTCATTCAAATAAGAATTACAGAATTGCTAGTGATTTGATTTTATAAAAAAAATATTTTCTGAGAGCTTATAACTTGAAAATTCTAATGAAAATATATTAATTTTTAATTAATGATTATATTATAAATTATATCTAATTATTTCATATCAATTTTGGCTGAAATAATTATTATTCTATAATTTCAAGTTATATATTTGAAAAATGATTTATTATTATACTACTTTCTAAAGATGTTAAATTAAAGAAACTAGAATATAATATAATAATGAAAGAGACTTGAAGTGAATAATTTACAAGAAGAGTATTTCTCTAGTTGTGTGATAATTTTTATGAAAATTATTATTTGAATAATAATGAAGGATAAAATAAAGGATTTAAAAATAGATATTTAAAACAAAATTAAAGAAATTCATAGATTTCAAAGAAATATGAATAGTTTCTGATCAATATTAGTATAAAACAAATAGTTGAACTTATTAATATGATTAATAATCCTATCAAAAGAATATACATTAACTTTTTAAAATAAACAAAGTAAAGTTATCAATCTTATTAAGTATAAAGTTATAAAAACTATTAATTTTGTTATAAAATAAAAGAAATAAGAGTTGAAATACAATAAGATAAGTTCTTTAAATATAATTTTTAGAACTACATTATTTAATATATAGTTTTATGAAATTCAAAGTACAAACTATAAATTATTTTATAAATTCTTATAAATGAAATATAATTATGCTTTGAATAAGAATTAAATCTAAGAGCAAATCTCTATCTCTAAAATATGGCATTATAATTTACAGAATTTAACGCGCCCATCCCCTGTTGATGTCTACTTGAAACCTCTCTGTTATTAATCAGATCATATGAATAAAGAAAACTATGGCCACCACCAAACACCAGTGCTTGTTCTTCAAGATTTAGAATTGTAATCACCAACTATTTTAAATGTGACTTTTGGACCTTGACCAACACACAACCGATGAAAATGAGCGACTTTATAACCATCGCAACTACCACACATCAATAATTTTAAGTTCACTTCCCCTATCTGAATTTTCCCTTCATCCTTAATCCACGTTTTAACTTTGTTTATTTGTTGATGTGATAAAATAAAGGAATGATTTGCCAAATCTCAGTCTTTCTATTTGTCACAAAGTAAATGACTTTTAATTGTATGTCTCGATCTGTATTTCCATTAGACCTGTGTCTTTATGGATGAAATCAATAATTACATTATTACCATATTGTTCCAAAATTAAACTGACTACAAATGTTTAAATCAGTTCAGTAATTTATTATTATAACTATCAAATAACAACAGTATTTATTTTCATAACAACGCGAGGATTATTATGTAATATTCAATATTTTTTACAATCTGTT